AAAAAAAAAAAAAAAAAAAAAAAAAAAAAAAAACAAGATGATTTCTTTTTTCGTCTTAAAATAATAATAATAAAAAAAAAGGGGGCGGGGGAAATATTAAAAAAGAAAAAAAAACTTCTTGATTCCTTTCATTCTCCTTTATCTTTTTAGATTCCTTCTCTTAAGCAGTAACCACGCATACGGAAACAAAAAAAAAAAAAAAATGATAACAAGCAACAAGAAGGTCAATAAATGCACAAACCGAAAGAAATAAACAAATTGCATTACAACAGTCTTTGCTTCTGATAGGGGGAAACAAAACATTTACTTCCTTTCCACATTCACGCACACATTTTTTTTTTTTTCGTTCCTCCATTATCTAGCTCTGTGTCTCTCTCTTCTCTTCTCTTCTCTTTTCTCCTGCAGACACACATACATACGCACACTCAGATACACACCTGGTTTCAAAGACAAGTCAAGTGAGTTTACTCCCACATCGTTATCAATCTGTAATTGTTACTGTGCGTATGTGTATGTGTTTGCACATGATGGGCGAACCAAAGAAGAAAAGACTGAGAGAGACACAGTGAAGAAACTCCGCCCTTCTATCTTCCTCCTCTTTCCAAAGAGTGGAGAGATCCGCAGGACACAGAAATATTCACAGTACCAAATAAATTAGATTTTCCCCTTGTGTTTTTTTTTTTCCTTTTGTTTTCTCTTGCCTCTTATTTAAAGAATGAATTCCTTAAAATTAATTTCTTTTCCCAGTACAATTCTAACCTTAAAAAACAACAACAAAATGGTTAGTTATGTGAGATGTCTACGGGAAAGGTACAGCGGCATAAGACGGTGGTAGCTGTGATGGTGACATCGGTGGATACATCCCATCCATAGAAGGCCAGAACAAGGTGTTTCCTGCGGAAGCCGCAAAGTCTGAGGGGCGCACATTTACGGCATTTGGGGCAAGTAACAACTGCTGTCCATTTTCCAGAACAATTACGACTGGTGGCATACTTTCAGTGGAGCACCCACTGAGATGGCCTGGATGTATCACGGGCGGTGCCAGTGGCTGCGGGTGATAAGAAAACTCCATTGGATACATTGGCGGCAGTTGCGGTGGTGCGGCGGCGAAGAGCATCTGCGGTGGCGGCGGCGGCGGTGGTGAGGCGGTGAAGACGGCGTCCAGCACTTTATACGCCGACGAGACGGAGGAGGCGGCATCACTATTCGGCGTTGGCCCAATCGAGCAGTTCGTGGACTCGCGCGAGCAGCCGGCGGCGCTGTTGCTGCTGCCGCTGCTGCCGAGGGCGGCGTGGCAGGCGTCCTGCGGGCGGCGGGGCGGCGGGAACACACACGCACTGCGGGGGGCGGGGGCGGGCGCCGACTTTCCCTCCTCGCGCCGCCGCCGCCGCTCGCGTTTGGCCTCCTCGCTGTCGGCGTACTTCACCATCACCGGCGGGTTGCCGAAGTGTTGACTGTTGCCGTGCAGCTTCCGCAGGGCGTTGGCGGAGCAGTCGAGGCAGTCGTACTCCGCGTAGACGACCCACACGGGGCTGCCGTAGTGGTCCTCACGCATCGCACAGTACAAGAGCGTGCCGAAGGACGCGAGGAACTGCTCCACCTGATGCTGCGGAACACTCACGGGGATGTTGCGAATGTAGAGCGCGTTGGAGGCACTCGCAGCGGCTTTGCCAGAGTGCTGTGAGGGGTAAATCACAAGTGTGAAGTTGTGATTACAGGCCCGCGTGCTCTTGCGGTTCATTCCTTCATACGCCTTACGTCCTTCCTCTTCGGTGTTGAAGAGTACAAAGCCAAAGCCTTTACTCTTTCCAGTGGCGGCATCCAACATCACCTTGGCACTGATTGGGAAATACTCGGCGAAGATCTGCTCTAGATCGGCATCATTCAGGTTGCGTGGCAGTTTAGCCACAAAAAGATTGCTGTACGACATTCAGTGAGATTCTGTTTCTTTGTTGAGTTCCTTAAAATAATAATAATAATAATAATAATAAAAAGAAATTCGTTTGATGTGCAAATGAATGTGGTTTTTTTTTTTGTTTATTTATGCTCCTTCGTTGCCCTTTGTTTCTTTTTTTTTTGAATGTTGGTCCTTTATCTTCCACTTTGTTTGAAGTGGAAATAAATATTTGCTTGTGAGAGTGTAGTGGTGAATTATTTTTTTCAGTTTCACTCAGTGACCTTATTTCCTTCTTTTATTTCCTTCTTTTTCCCTTGTTTTTTTTTTTTTTATTTCCTTGAAATTTCTTTTCCTTTTTTTTTTTTCTCTTCTTGACTGCACTTACGTATGTATGTATGCTCTGTGTTCTTAAGCAAGTAAAGAAAATAAAAAAAACTTCTTTTTCTTTTATTTTTCTTCGTTCCTTTTTTTTTTTGCTAGCCTCTTTGTCTCTTTTCCCTTGTTCTATAGCAGTAGTACAACAGAAAGAAAAAAACCGATGAGAAAGGATTGTCTCCTTCGTTCCTCAAATTCACTTACCGTTAAAAAGGAAGATAAAAATAAGAAGATAGAGTAGAGAGAGAAATAACTCAGGGGATAGATTGTAAACACATCTGCAGAGAATAAGAGAGAATAAAGCCTTTGCCCTTCTTTGCAGTCGGAACCGAAAGAACGTGAAATGTCAATAAACGACAAAATGAAATGAAAAAGCCAAAGACTGTCACTCATACGGTAGTATTAGCGTAATAAAGTATGGTGACCCTACGTATGAGTCAAGAAAACGTAAAAGAAAAGAATTCCAGCGCATTCCCAGTGCAAAAACAAAAACAAATGAAATCGTCATGAAATAAAAAAACAAAAACAAATGAACTGAAGCAAAAACAAAAACAAAAAGTAAATAATAATTTGATGATGATAAAGCACACACAAACACACACAGAAAGAGAGAGAGAGAGAGAGAGAGAGAGAGAGAGAGAGAGAGAGAGAGAGAAAGAAAAACATCAAATATATTCCATCACATGTTCCCTTCTTCCTCTGAAACCCCCACATTCTCACTTCTTCATACTTCTCATCCCTTTCCTCCCATTTATTTTCATCTCAATTTAATCCCCAGTACTTCGCGCGAAGATAGCCCATCAGTAATATATATATATATACACTCACACACACAAGGTATTTATCTGTGAGTGTATATATATATATATATATGTACATGCCGTTCCAGTTCCACAAAAGAGCTATATATACATACGTTGTAAATGAAAAGAAAACAACAGCAATAAATGAAAACTGAAAACGAGGATAACGGCATCAAAAGTGAAAACAAAAAAGAAAAAAAAAGAACAACAATAAATGAGCTCCTCCACTAGGTCACGCTGTAGCCCAACAGCTATTTCGGAAGAGAGGCAGCTAAAAAAAAAAAAAAGTGTGTGTGTGTCCGTGGCAACAATAAAGCAAATAGCAAGAAGAACAATAATAGCAATAATCAACGTCACCAACAGTACAGAGAAGGAATCTCATGTTTTTTTTTTTTCTTTTCCTTCTTCTCGTTCTCTTTTCATTTGCCAATGCCACATAAGGAAAAATACATTCATTCATCAAGTCCAAGAAAATCAGGTGTTTTTTTTTTTTTTTTTTTT